TTAGGGGCTTTAGGTTTAGGATTTTGTGGTTTAGGGGCTTAAGGTTTAAAGGTTCAGGGTTCGGACCTGCGTTGGGGTTCCAGGATCTTGATGCTACTGAGGAGTGTCAAGGATTGATTCGTTAAGAACCGTTCCGCAAGTACTTGCGCAGACGTTGTCGCTCGATCGTCGCATCACCATCATAATAGTCATCCTCACCACCACCACCACCACCACCACCACCACCACCACCACCACCACCACCACCCTCGTCATCGCCATCGTTGACAGTATCAACAACGGCAGCAGCAGAGGCACCAACAGCAGCAACAAGTACAACAAGCAGAACACCGCCACCAACAACGACAGTGTTGACATCATTGATACGATTGTTCTGGTCATGTTCATAATCATGGAAAAGATCAGATGGTCATTATCATGAAGTGTCAGGGTCTAAGTGTTGTGAGTTGTGTCCTTCGTGCAGGTGAGTTTGTTTTTGCACTGAGTGTCTCCGATGGTTTGCACATGCTGCCAACTGCGTAGACCAGCGCTAAACCCTACATAAATTCCAAATCCTAAACCCCAAACAAGGTCGTGGGGAGGGACGGTGTTCAGAGATGGGTCTTTGGTTGTGAGGATGGCTTGTGTAGGGTCCCAGAAATTCCTCGACCCTAGCTTGCCTCAAGTGCTCCCCCCTGCCTCATTCGTCGGTCGTTCACAGCTTCTGCTGAGCTTTGGAATCTGATTTGAGGTACGAAGTATCCAATGACAGCAGCGAAATCGCATACTAACGAAGACAGAAGCTCAGGCTGTAGAAGAGTCAGTGTATCGCACCGTGCACACGAATGACAAGCGCGTCGGTGTGTGTACCTATCCATCCTAGGTCATGTCGAGTCTGGTGTATTTGGGTCTCTCTACTTAGACTCTAACCCTCAAGTAAACCCTTGAACCCCAAAGCCTTAACCCTTATAATAAGATCTTGAGCTTACTGTACATCCCCTCGTTCCTCTTCCTTCAGGTTTCCTCGCAGCGGATTCGGCGAGCTGATTCGGCCAAAACAGAGCCAAGCTGTGCATTGTGTGATGGTTCTAGATCTATCATAGAAGGTCCAGAGCTGAAATTCACTGCTCTCAATTTACGAAAATACCATGAGCTTCAGGAAACTGTCGGCCCCGGTACGACCACCCAGACCTCGTGCCTTCATGCGTCGCCTAATACTCCACAACATCCTGAAAAGCTTGCCAGGCCGGAAAGAGGTCTCATGTCGCAACCACGGAGGATGTTTGTGGCTTTGCTGCCGCAGTTCCAAACCTCTCTCTCACCCACCACAATCGAAACATAGTAGAAAGGCTCACGCTCGAAAGACGTTTTATGTTAGCTTCTGCAGCAGCTTACAAACCAAGATCTACACCTGCTCCTGCGTGTGTCAGTTGTGGTCCATGCTCTTTTCGCAACTCTCATTACTGGTCTGACCGGCGCAGGGTGCACAATGGGCGCATCCGAGAGAGACACAGCTGCATTGGGTTGTTCTCACACCATCCAGCCCCAAGCCCCAACTGTAACTTGAACACATGGCTGCACTGTTTCAGCTTGTGCCCTAGACCCGCGAGGCACAGATGTGGAACTCTCATGCTGCTTCAGCCCTCCGACCTGAAGCCCATTGCTGTTCAAGCCCATGCTTCCCCTGCTTGAACCGTCGGGCGACTTACTAAGTAGGTACAGCAACAAGTAGACTTTCAACTACCCGAAAAGGGGTCTTAGTTGGGCTTATAATATTTACTTGTACATAATTAAAAAGTTTCTACTTACTAAATCCCCCGACCCTCCAAGTGAGATGCCTTGTGCAGACCCAAGGATTGCAGAAGACCTGGACATTTCCGTCCTTTGGCTTGCTGGTTGTAATCTGGTCTGAGCTTTGCGGGTGGGTTTTAGGGCTTTAGGTATTCTTAGCTCAGGTCGTTGCATTGAGCTTGAACCAGCAAAAGCATAGATCGATCCTGTAAGCTTGAGATCTCCTGAACCGCGCGTGCAAAGGCCTTCGGCTCCAGATGCGTTCAGCTGTGAGACCGAAACCCTCAATCTTAAACCCCTAAAGCCCTAAACTTTCAAAGCCTGTGCGCTGTCTTGCACGGATGTTATCACCCCGAAGGCATACCTGGTAGCAAACCTGGGACCAGGTGGTGCTCTTACCTAGCCAGGAGAGCTCAAAAGACCAAAAACCTGCTAGCTCCAACAAAATTCCTTCCCCCCCCCTGCTCCCCGGCCTCGAACGGGCCTTGGCACACGCCCTGCACCTTCAACTCTTAGTCCCAAGCCTCGAGAGCCCTTGCAAAGGTTGGAAAACCCATATTTATCGAACCCTTGCCGACCCATTGTAGAATCAGAACCCGTGCACAACCCTTATCGAACCCATGCAGTCCCCTTTATCGAACACTTGTCACCCATTATCGATGGAACCCTCGTACCACCATCGTTTATTCTAGAGCCCTTACAAAACTTCGGTGGGATGCCCATAGAACCTTCATACACCCTGAGCCATGCTTCAAACCCTAAACCCAAGACCCCAAACCCTAAACCCCAGACCCTAAACCTCAAACCCTGAAGGTTAAAAAAAACAAACCTTAAATCCTAAACCCTGAACCCCTAAACCCCAGCCAGTCAGGTCTTGGACTTTGCCAACATTTGTATCGATCCGGAGGCTGTGTTCAGAGAGCTAGAACAGGGTGTAGGGATCCTGGCTTCAGAGTGATAGGGCCTCGGTCGGGTTGTTGGTTTAGGGTTTAAGCGTTTTGGTTTAGGATTTAGGGCGAAAGATTTGTGGCTTGTGGTTTGGGGTTGTGTGCTTTTGTTTTGTGCAGGGTGTATCGTCTTTGACGTAAACTATAACCCCAACAAAACACACCTGAGACAACTCCGCACCTGCCTCCAGCCTGCCTGAATGGGTAGCCAGAACTTTTGGGTTTGTTTGATTGAGAGATAAGAGTGCTAGTTTCGCGAGTGCTTACGTTTTGATGCTACTTGAAGATACACCCTGCACCGCCACCGCTCCTCTGCCGCTACAATGCCCCTACAATAATAGCATAAGTGAGACCGAAGAGCACACAGCCTGGGCCAGGATTTCGCGAACCCCCTGGAATTGAGCACGCGAGGAGGTCGAGTGGGCGGGGTGATGGGTTGTGAAGTCTCGGGCTCAGGGTTGGGCCTGAACATAGCATCGGATCTGTAACCTAAACCCTAAACTTTACCCTAAACCCGAAACCCTAAACCCTAAACCCTAAACCCTTAAACCCTTGAACCCTAAACCTTGTGGTGATTGAGGCAGTTTTGGGTGAAAGCTTTGGGTTTAGGCTTGCCTGCAGCCCACAAGGCCTACCTGCTTCAGGAACTCTATAGAGAAACCTAAACCCTAAACCGTAAACCCTAAACCCTAGACCCTAGACCAACGCCAAAAGCCGAAACCTCAAAACCCAAAGCAACTCAACCCTCATACGATAGGGCTTGTGCGCTAGAGGTACCCAGAACCCCAGAAGGAGTTTCCTAGGCTCGTAGCTGCCTGTGCGTACGAACTTCTTGTGTACATATATGTAAGCATCCCTGAGTAGTGTAGGGCTCTTCCCATGAGCACAAAGCCCTTCTCGTCGGCTCCTTGCTTAAAGGTCTGCCAGGCTAAGCGCGCAGCATTTAGCGTTTAGCATTTTGGGTTTAGAGTTAAAGGTTTAGGGTTTAGGGTTAAGGTTTAGGCTAATTAGGGGTGTAGGGGTTTTAGGGGGTGGTAAGTATCACCTCTGGGCAACCCGGGACCCAGGATGATGGGAAGCCCTTTGGGCAAGGGTGCGAGAGGCGGACCCTAAACCCTAAACCCT